ATAGTAGTATTTTTAGTATTATCTATAGTTAGAGTATTAAAGAGAATAGGCGCTTTCTTTAGAAGTTTAGAGAAGAAGTTAATTTTAATTATTACTAGTATTTTAGAAGATTTAGTCTTAAAAGTATTTAAGATATAAGATATAAGATATAAGATAAAAAAAAGTATCTTCTAAGTGTAACTTTTTATATAAGAAGTTACGTAAGGCAGCTATTCTCTAAACTATAGTATTAACCTCTATATTAGTATTATAACTATAGTTATCTATCTAGTTCTACGCTAATAGAGAGGCTTCTATTTAATACTATACTACTTTCTAAATTCTAGCTCTTCTACTAATAAAAGCTACTTATTATTACTATTAGTATCTATCTAGCTTTAAAAGCTTATCTAGACATATATTTCTAGAATTTTAATAACTTTATAGCTCTATAGCTTGCCTCTAGTACCTCTAAGTTCTCTAAGTTTACTTCTAAGTATACTAGATAGTTCTCTATTACTATTACCTCTATAAGTACGTTATTAATACTCTAGATTTATAGTAAACGTTATAGAGAGAGTTTTATTAATAATACTTACTACTATATTATAGTAAATATAAGGTGTTTAGAAAATATACCTATATTAAGATTACTATATAGAGTTACTAGACTATATTTTATTACTCTACTCTGTATTAATATTCTACTATAATACTAAAGGCCTATACTATTTATATTTATACTTTTATATATAAACTAGTACTAATTATAAAACTAGGCTCTTTTATATTATCTAAACTTATTTCTAATACTCTAAAGTTATAGATTAGAGCCTTAAATAGAATTATTAGCTATTTTAATAGTATATTAAATAATAATAAGAAGAAGTTTATAAATAGTTTCTTAAGTATTACTTAAGTAGATAGCTACTATAATAGCTATAAAGCTTTGTAGTTAAGAATAGTAGTTATTATTATTAGGTACTAGAGAGTTAATATAGTATTATATTATAGTTAATAAAGAATAAATATAGCTAGTCTATTATACCTATTACTATATATTATATTATTTCTAGTTATTTCTAGTTATAGTATAAAGAAAGTTATATAAGTAAGTATAGACTAAGTCTAAAACAACTATATTACTATAGTAATATATACTAAATTAATATTAAAATTATTTAGTAGTTTTAAAAAAGACTAGCTTAAAGTCTTTTAATATCTTTTAATATCTTTTAATATTATTTTACTATAAAAATAATACTAAATTAGGCTTAAGGTACTAATATTATAAGTATAATAGTATTTTAATAATAAAGCTTAACTTTTTATATTTTATTTAATAATATATTATATTTATAAATATTCTTAGTACGTGTATTTATAAGTACTAAATTTTTTAAAACTTTAGTTTATACTATACTATATTAGAGAAATTAGCTATATATTAAAACTAAGTATAAAAGTTTTATTAAATTAAGTATCTTAGCTATATATTTTATTATTAGATATATTATTTTTTTAAAGTATAAAGTTTTTTTTTAATATACTTATTACTAAGCTATAGCTTTACTTATAAAACTTTTATATCTAAAGTACTATAGTATATACTATACTACTTATAAAATACTAACTTTTTTAAGTTTATAACTTTTTTAGAATATTAAAAACTTTTTTAAAAAATTCTTTTCTAACTAATTTCTAAGTCTTTTATTTATTATTAAGTAAGTTAGTATCTTAAGTCTAATTTAGTATTATCTTTATAGTAAAATAATATTAAAAAATATTAAAAAATATTAAAAGACTTTAAGCTAGTCTCTTTTAAAACTACTAAATAATTTTAATATTAATTTAGTATATATTACTATAGTAATATAGTTATTTTAGTATAAACTTATTTTATACTTACTTATATAACTTTCTAGTTTATACTATAACTAAGAATAACTAAAAATAACTAAAAATAACTAAGAATAATATAATATATAGTAATAGATATAACGCTAATAGAACTAGCTATATTTATTCTTTATTAACTATAACTATAACTTTATTTCTATTCTCTAATAATATTAATATAATAACTACCTAAAGCTTATAGCTTAAAAAGCGTTTCTACTATAAAAGATATTTATTATAGCTAATATCTACTTAACTATCTTAGCACTTAAGAAACTATTTATAAATATTTTCTCTTTATTATTCTATTCTCTCTTAGTCTTATTAAGTATTAGATTTAAGGCTTTATACTATAAGTTTATAGTTTTATTTATAAGATTAGATAGAGCTAAATTTAGATCTATAGTCTATTTTACTTTATATATAAAAAGGTAGATATAAATATTAAAAATAACTAATAATAATAATAATAATAGCTTAGTAGCTAGAATAGTAGTAAGAGAATAAGTACTAGCTTAGTTTAGGTAAATAAAGTCTTTAGTTCTACTAAAGAATCTATATATATTAATAACTAGTTTCTTAAAATTAAGGCTAGTAAAGAGAATAATAGAAGGTCTTACTTTAGGCGTATATATTTATAATATAGTATTAATAAGAGCTATAATAAAAGCTATAATAAAAGCTATAATAAGAGCTATAATAAAAGCTATAATAAGAGCTTTAATAGTATTAGTAGAGTAGACCTTAAATATTAAATAAATAAATTTCTATATAATAGCTACTAGAATACCTTTTAAAATAGCTACCTAGATAGACTCTAAGCTATTTATAGAAGCTTTAGTAAGTAATAGTAATATAGTTATATAAAAAGTAATTTATTAATAATAAAGTAACTTAGTAAAGCTTCTTAGTAAGATAGTAAGGTAAAATAAAATAAAATAACTAGTAAAAGATTAGTTTTATTCTTATAAGTACTAAGAAAACTTATAAATTATTTAACTAGCGTAGCGTTTAGTATTAGATTTAAGCTACTTATATTTTTAATATATCTTTAAATTTCTAAGAGTAGTAACTTATAAAATAAAAAAAGCGCGCTTTTACTAAGAGAGATTTTAGTATATATATTTTAACTATAGAGCTTTAGAATATATTACTCTATTAGTAATAAGTATATATAATTAAATTATAATTCTCTTATAAAGTCTTTTTATAAAGTATTTAGTATTATAATTCTTTTATAAAGTATTAAAATAGCTACTTTATAAGCCTAAAAAATTTAGAAGCTTTAACTATTTTAAAGATAGTAGTACTAAAACTCTAAGTTTTAGCTTACTTAATACTATATCTCTAAAAGTAAGTAAAAAATTTAGTTATATATTCTTTAAAGTACTAGTAATAGTTTTTACTTTTTTAAAATTAGTAGCTTTTTAAGCTATAAGTATTACTACTTAAAATTTAAATTTCTACTTAATAAGTCTTTTAATATTTTTTAATATTTTTTAATATTTTTTAATATTATTTTACTATAAAAATAATACTAAATTAGGCTTAAGGCACTAGTCTTTTATTTATACAGAAATATATAAATAATTAAATAATTATTATGTTTAGACGTACCTGCAGTCACAGGGACAAAAGGCATGATCTTGGGTATCGAAGATTAGATTGTATCTCGCAATGCAGTCAATCATCCGAACTGCCTCCAGACAGTGTTGCGCCGGTCCTTTGGTGGTGTCTCCGGGCCTGGCATTAGCTCGCGCAGCAGGTCGTTGATGTCGAGGCCGCGCTCTTGACAATCGTGCCATTGCCGTGGGTAGCCCAGGCTGACCTCTTCAAAGCGCGTGTTGTCTATCCAGTCTGTCCGCCTGATGTGGAGATGGCCAGAGACGACGACCTTTGCGTTGTACTTGTTGTGCCAGTCTTCGGTCTTCTTTGTGCCGCACCAGAGGGAAAAGCGCTCGACTCGGAACAGCTTCACGAGGTCTTCGCGCAGCGGCCAGTGGCCTACTATGATCAAGGGGATATCTGGGTGTGATGCGACGGCGGCGGCGAGCTTCTTCTCCGTCCTCTCGAGAAGCGCATTGCACCATTCGATACGCGACGAGTAGGGGTCGGGATGCAGGAGGTGCTCGTCGGTCGCTTCTATGTCTTTCTCTCGCGCCCACTCGAGCGCATCCTCTAGCTTCACGTGGCTAGGCCTGAAGCTGTAGTCGTACAGCGTGAAGATGGGCGCAATGAGACATGGACCCCCTTCGCCCTCCCACAACGTGTATGGATCTTCTGGTGTGATTATGCCATACTCGCGCGCAATCGCAACGCACTCCATGTATTTCGCCTCGCCCCTCGCGCCATGCTCTTTCTCCGAGGGCAGCGTATACAGCTCGTGATTGCCTGGCACCCAGAACACTTGCCGGAAGCATTCCTTGACCTTGGTGAAGGCGAGCCGACAATGCTCTGCCGACTCGCCAACGTCTCCACACAGTATGAGATCATCGTGCGGGTGTGGCAGGAGCTTCTCGAGAGCGTCGCGATTGCCCTTGAAGGAGAGGTGGATGTCGCTGATGCCCCAGAGGCGGCTCTCGGGGGGCGTCTCGGCGGAGGGCGGGGAGCTCGGCGGGGTCGACGTTGTGTCTGCGGCGGCGGCGGCTTCGGCCGCGGCGAGAAGAGGGTCCATGGTGGCGGCGACGATTAACTGCACAATAGGGACGCGCCCTGACGGATGTTATATAGTGACAATGTCTCAAACGGACGTGTTGCAAAGAAGTAACTACATCATAGTTCTTTCTCCGACGCGTGTCCGCCGTTTCGACGGGCTATTATTATCGATTCGCACAGACCAGTAAGACGTCAAGCTCGTATCAGGAAAGAACAGGTCATTTATCAAGTCGCACCTATTCGCTGAAACTGTTTTCATCCATCATACGTATAGCAGCTGTGCATCGTCGCGAAACCGGGTCCCCGCTGCCTACCGTTGAGGTCACGATACATAGGTACGCTGAGTTTAGAGTTTCACTATAGCGAGGCTGACATGGTACACTACATTTGATGGAAGGAACTACGCACACGAATGATAAACATCGCCGATACTTTAAAGAATCGCGCGCAATAATCGATCCAGAATCTCAACATGCTTGCCCATCACTTGAAGCCGTACCAGCTAAATCGTCGTCGTCGTCGTCGTCGTCCTAGTCGCTGTGAGTCGCTGCTAATGTGTCCAATCTCTCTATCCTCACATCCTCTGCATCGTCCATTCATACACCGTCTCGCCTCTCCCAAGCAACCCCCAATTCTTCAAGAACCTCGTCGTCATAGAACGTCCAGTCGACAGGCAACGAGAATGTGTCTTTGAGTATGCTACCACTCTCATGCGCATCTCGAACCCGAGCAAATTCAATTGGGCGCTCAGCTTCCGGGACCTTCTCCATCTCTTTGAGCGTCAGACCATCTAGCTTGATCCTCAGATCTTCCATTCTGTGCGCCAAGTCATTATTGCTAGCGAACAACTGGTCGTTGGTTGTCGGGATCAGGTATGTGTGCTTTAGTATGGGATGGCCGAGTGACATGAACTGGATCGAATGTCGTGGGTGCTGAACTTCGTGGTATTGCGAAACAAACGGGTTCTCGTAACGTCGAAGGAGAAACATCGCTGACTCGAGGACAGCATCAGGTGTAGTGGGAGCTTTCACGCCTTCTGTGTCAAGCTGGAGACACAAGGTACGTTTGTCACCCAGTTTCCGGACGGTCGAAGGAGCCCGGTTCTTCGCAATGTCGTAGTGAAGTTCCTTTCCGCCTTCGTTGGTTTTGCCAGCCGACATAATTACTGCAGGTCCGGGTTTGCGACTTTCTCCTTCTTTTGTAGTAATCCCACAGACTGCAATAATTGCATCGCTCTTAGGACGTCGCTGGCGCTCGAAACGACCAACTTCTATCTCAAGAATGGCGTCCCCATCTGACAGCAAAAGACACTCCTGCTTCACCAGTGTCTCGACCGGGAATATGGCGTACGCTTTATTCCACGACAGGAACATAAGTCTATCTGACGTCGCTCTTTCCAAAAGCCTCTGAATTGGAGAGGTTTTGTGGTGTTCGATGTTCACCCAATAGGGCTTCTTCCGGAACGCCATTTGTCCGTTGCCACATTGCGGCGTACCAGGATACATTTCGTTTGGATCTTGGAGGGTGTACCCTTCCGTTTCGAGGTATGTGACCATCGGGTCTGTATGTTCATCTTGTATGTGAAGAATGAGAGTTTTCACCCTACGGTTGTCGCCTCGCGTGAAGAACCTTAGCAAGTTTGGGCAAACACCGTCGAAGATCAGAGCACCCGACTCTCCTTGCGCGGACCTAAAATCTTTGGGGTTGGTGAAGAAGTTCCGGAGTTGGTGGTCGATATTGTAGGCCGAGGCCATGAGCCTGGGCCAGAGGCAACCGAAGCCTTTGCATGTCGCAGCCAATGTTGCGACAGCGCCAGGATCGAGGTACTGCAGAAGGCAAGTCTGGATCGGACCGAGTCGCGGGCTCAGCAGGTCGATGAGAGAGGTCATAGTTCTGGGATGGCTGATGCTGTCAAGATTTGTTAATTGGTGAGGAGAGATGCGTGGTTCTGGAAAGGTTAGAGCGCCACATCTGTAATATAGTCTCTATATCCCAGCCAACGCAACCGCCACACACACGAGATATTCACTGATAATGTTGCCTTGAGGCTGGAGTCTATATCCGGTGACGCAGCTGAGAACGTAGTATCATGTCACAAGCAATCCATGCACACGCCGCGACTGTTTTGGAGTTGCTGCAATCACGCCTTCCTCGTTTAGCCGAAATCTTCACGGTTGTAGTCAATGCGGAAGGTGCGTTAGGCGGGTACCCTCGTTTGTGTCTCATCGTCAAGACCAGCGGTGAAGGTGAGGGTGAACTCTCGATTTCTCTAGTGCCTTCAATAACAAAACTTTACTCCCCTCATTCCTTTCAAACAGCTACCACATCTTTACTTCTCCAACATCTTCCATCATTCAAGACTACATACCATCAGCGTCATCACCATCATCGTCGTCACCCTCAACAATGTCATCCCCACCCTCCGCAATGCAAATCCGCGCCGAGAACGCCGAGCAAGAAAACGCTGCGTTGAAGCGAGACCTCGAGCTCGCCAACAAGAAGAACGAAGACCTCGCGACAAAGCTGGAAGCGTCGGAGAAGGAGCTTGAAGAATACAAGCAAGCTGAAACCGATCGCGAGAACGAGCGGAAGAAGGTTGCAGACGACGAGAAGGCGGCACACGATACTGGGGTTGCTCGTTGGAAGGATGCGGCGGTATCTGGGGCTAGTTTGAATGAACAGTCGCAAGCATTCCTGGGTAATAGGCCTCCGAGACGCAGCGTGGAGGAAAAGTCGGCTGCGTGGTTGGCGGAGTATAGGAAGAAGAAGTGAGACATGCGCCATCATCATGCTATGTACACGAGAAAATCAAGAGTTGTTTTCAAACATTATCATTCATGCTACATGGACAACCATGCCACATCGCACGTTACTATCATCCATCCATCGCCATGCCAAAAGCTTCATAACTATGCCTAAACCCTCTCTTCTCCTATCTCCATGTCCATCATCCCGGGGGACAGACAAGAGACCGTAAAGCCATGCCATGAGAGGAGAAACACAGATAAAGCTCGCATACATGATATAACCAAAAATCGTAGAGAGAACCGGGGGAGGGCAGGAAAAGAGTGATTAAGGAAACGCAAAAACGCCATCATGACACAAGACTCATCGCCGTCTCACCAATCCTTCGCGAGCGAGGATTGTCATTGGACGGAGATGTTGTTCCTCAGGCCGCTGGGCTCGGGACCCTTCTTGTTGCGGCGGCCGAGCAATGTCGAGCTGTCCATGTTGAGCTCAAACGCGCCCTTGTTCCTGACTTGGCGCTTAGCCGCGGCCGCAACAGCTGGGGAGTGTTGGCCGTAGCCGCGTTCTTGCTGGCGCGGTTGTGCTTGTTGTTGCTGGCGGGCTTGAGCGGCGGCGGATAGTGTGGTATTGCGCATCTTCTGCTCCATGCCGGATACATCGGCGCCCTGAGACTTGGGCAGCTTCGCGGGCGGATGTTGCGACGCTGGGTCGTATGGTGCAGACTCAGCGGCGTACTCGTCGTCATCCTCACCTTCGTCGAGAGCGTTGAGCGAGTTCATGGCGTTGGCGCCGCGGTAGCCCTGCTTGAACTGCTTCTTCCGCTTGCCCTCCTCTTCTTGTCGGTGTACAGCGTAACTGACATCGAACACTTCTCGCAGGTTGACAGCGCCAGGCGAACGGAAGTCCATGCGGCGAGCGCCAGGTGACTCGAGGTGGGAGAAGTCTGGCTGGAGACGCTCCTTCTTGGCAGCGGGTGTGGCGAGCGGTGGGGCGTCGTAAGCGGAGTAGGTAGGCTCGTCGGCTTCACGTATCCATGGGTGGTTGAGGAACTGGTTGATGTCGTAGCGCTTCTCGGGGTCGACTGTCAGCAGGTGGGAGACGAGATCCTGGGCAGACTTGGAGATGTCGTCCCACCATGGCGACAGGAATGTGTACTGGCCGCGGGCGACCTTCTCTGTGAGGGTCTGAATAGACTCGTCGTAGAACGGAGGGAAACCGCAGAGCAGCGTGTAGAGCACACAGCCCAGCGCCCACATGTCGACGGACTTGGAATAGCGCTCATCCTTGACAATCTCAGGGGCGGTGTAACCGACAGTACCACATGGTGTCATGGTTTGCGTATCCCAGATGACCTTGCTGAGACCGAAGTCGGCAATCTTGATGAGACCGATACCACCGGCGCCCTTGCCCTTGACGAACTCGCCCTCGTCCGCCTTGTCTTCATCGTCCGGTCCCCGCGGCTTTGGGTTGCGGGTGGGGATGAATGGTGTGGGGTAGAAGAGAAGGTTCTCAGGCTTGATGTCTCTGTGAATGACGTCAGTAATTATGCTTGGCATCGTGACTTGCATCGATAAGAACGTACCGGTGGACGACACCTGCCTCCTCGTGCAGATATTGCAGTGCCTTGGCCACCTGGATGATGGTGTGGCGGGACAGGTCCTCGGAAAAGTACGTCAGACGGACGATCTGGTGGAACAGCTCGCCTCCGGGGCACAGCTCAAGCACAATGTAGTAGTACTGCCGCGACTCGGAGAAGTCGATGAGCTTGACGATGTTGGGGTGGTCGAGCTGGCGCATAATCTGTACTTCCTTGAGGATGTTCGCTCTCTATAGGGCAGTTAGTGTCTGCCCTTTAAGCCCGTCGTGAAGGGAGATGCTGAGTCGAGCATCGGGGGTTATATTATCGCACCTCGGCTGCTTTGGGCGTCTTGAAGTCCGGATGCACATGCTTGTCCTACACCGGCCTCGCGTTGGTAACGTCCAAAAACACCCAACTGTTCAACGTGTAGGATAGGGGTGACTAGGAAATGGGCAGGGAGGAAGGGGGCTGGAGGGGTAATACTAACCTGCTGTGAGTTCATCTCGAACTTGCGGACGACCTTGATGGCGACCTCGTCCCATTGGCCGGTCGTGTCTCGTGCGCGGTAGACGTTGCTGAAGGCGCCGTCGCCCATCTTCTCGAGGAGCGTCCATCGCTCGAGGCCGGGATACCTCGGCAGCTTGCCCTTGGCCTCGCGCTCCTCGGCGACGATGCGCTCGAGGACCTGGGGGTCGACGCCGGCGCCCTTGGCAGCGGCCTGCTTCTTGTGCTCCTTTTGGGCGGCGTGCGCGGCGGCGTCGCCTGCCTGGGCGGCAATGTTGCGGTTGTCGCCAGCGCCAGCGCCGACGGAGTAGTCGCCATGGGGGGCAGCGTGGTTCTGGAGCGGCTTGTGGTCCATCACGGGCTCCGAGATGCCATGGTGTACGGGGTCCGGGTGCTGGTTGTACCGTTGATGTTGCGACTGGGCGTGGACATTGGAGACATTGGTCGTGGGCTCCGCGTTCTGGCGGGCCTGCTTGCCATGGCGCAGGAAGTTCTTAAAATTCTGTATCGCGGCCATGTTTAGTGTCTGGACGCTGGGAGGTATTACAAAGCCCGTCAATAGCGGGGTCGTCGAGGCTGCGATGGAGAATGCAAAAAACAAGCGGGTGCAGCCGTTTGTTGGGGCAAAGGGCAGACGGGCGGTAGCACGGCGGGAATTCTCGGTGGTGAGGGGAAGTCAGGGAGAAGCGCTGGTTGGAAAGAAGGTCATGCATGGACGAAGGAAGGAGTGAAGCCGGAACAAGAGAGGAGCGACGTTGCGTCATTGGTGCACGGGCTTCATGACGCTGCAGGCTACATCATCGCCAAACAAGCTGCACCACACGCACACGATATGATGCGTGCTGCTGCCCGTGGCGCCTCGAGCTCTAGCCGTGGTGCATTGCGTGCAGAGAAGACGCATATCGAACTGTGTAGAAATGTGTAGAAATCATCTCACCTCAATGACTGGGAGGCCCATCTTCTTGCGTCCGCCGCGGGGAGACGTGGTTTTGGACTGCATGTAGGGATTCGATCTCGATGATCGCCTTCGTCTCTGCTTATTGACTCGCTCTGCGGTGGAGGTATGACGCTCGTTTCTGTTCCGCGTCCCGGCTGGGAGATCTCGTGGCTTCCGCTAGCACGCGCAAGGGTTGGGTTTGAGGGCGTTTGGAATTGGAAGGATTATTAGATCGCGATGGGTTGTGATGGGCAGGAGAGGCGAGCAACGGCGGTGTCAAAAAGAAGAGGAAACGAACTCTATGTATCGTCTCTAGATTATTTGTCTTTTGCTTGGACGAGGCCACTGCGCTACTCCGCGCGAATACTCTTCAGCAATAGTGGCAGACGCTGACGCCCGCGGAATCTCCGGCAGCCTCCTCCCAGCTCCCAGTAGACTCGCACAGTCGAGCCTGGCTCCATCTAGAGGCTGAGAGGCTCGCTAGGGACGCTGCCGCCGACGCCACGCTGCATGCAAACCTCACTCCGACCTTGGAAGAGGGTCCCGAGACGGCCTGAACGCAGCCCAATGACCGCATATAAGACCAGGGCGAGATATGGCAATCTCATGGCGCATGCGTCCTCCCAGCGCGCCCGCAGTTCTAATTTCTCGCTCTTCGCGTTTCCAACGGCCTAGCAGCCTGCAGGGTCCAGCTAGCGCGGCGGATCCGTTACGTCACCGTCTAGTGGGGAACTTCATTGAAGACGTCAATTTCGCCCTCTCGAGACCTCTGGGCTGAAACACATGTGCCGCTTACGGCGTCCAGACGAATTCACGTAGATCGTGTTGGGCAGGCCACGAGACCTTTTCAATAACGTAGGTAGCTCTAGTCTCGGTCGCGCCGGCCATGTCGGCCCAAATCCAAGGCCTTGACGCATGGGATTCGGTCCGCCCATCTATCATTGCGCGTTCGCAGGGTTGCGAGCGGAGCTGACATGGGGACTGACGGGGACTGACATGGGACGGGGCAGGTAGAGTTCTTGGGGTCAGGTTTGTCATATTTGGATCTGATAACTAATAGACCCTTTCCCACGATATCCTCGTGGCAATCATCTGGATCCTCGTGGCATGACTAATGAACGTCGCCAAGCGCGGATGGCAACCACGTGCTGGCCTCGCTACACCAAGAAAAACAGCGTCATGTCAGTTAACGTTGGATGAGGAATGCGACGAATGCAAACGTAGAAGAAAGTTTACCGTATGCGCTCAAAGTCACTAGTGAGCCGGTAGCCGTGAGAAGATTAGGGTACGGCCGGCACGGAAACAGCAGCAGTCCACACTTGGCAGCGCCTGAAACGCAATCCAGTCCACACCTAGCTGACGGATCCAATCTCTCCACATACCACGAATAAACCATACGCTATAACAGGGTATGTAAGATGTCAGGCATATGGAACACGTGTTTGCATAGCTCTGACACCGTACCTAAACTTCAATTTGACCTGCCTATCTCCCAACTACAGCGCCTCACACCTCTCACACCCACAATCAAATCCCCACGTCTTCTTCAGCCTCAACATCCTCTTCCCACGACTCAGCTTCCTCTCCTCCCCACTCAGATACGTGATGCACAGCTCCTGCCCGGCCTTGATATCCTTCCCAGCCGTAAAGAACCACGTCCTCCCCTCCCTCCTCTTCTCGATGTTCGGCCCGCAAGAGTGGTTAAAGTAGCTCGCAGCGGGCCAGCACCCGTATCCAAAGAACTCCGAGCCGTCGTCTTCGAGAGACCGAATGCCGAAGGAATTGTGCGAGTCGCGGGATGAGAGCGTGATGAGCGACTCTGCCGTTACGAGAGGGAGAAGTTGAAGTGGAAGGATGGCGAGGAGGTGCAGGTACGTTCTTGTAAAGGCGCCGAGGTCGTCGGAGCTGTGGTAGGGGGTCTTGTCGTCTGCGAGAGCCTCCACCCGTTCCCATTGGTCGGGGTGGAGATACCGCCAGACCAGGCCGCTGACGCAGAAGCTCATC